GTTATACAGACAGGGGTTGGGAGAATGATGGTTGACGCATGCTGTGGCTGTAGGCAGTGTGAAGAGTCAGACATATATTTATGTCACAATCTTCTTGTCACTCTTTCATTCTTCATGTCACACTCTTCTTGTCACTCTTTCATGAAAAGCCAGGCAGCGCTTTTCCTAAGCTCTATTAATGAGCTCTAACCGATGATGCTCCCTCTCTGCTGGAAATATCCTTTTTTAATCCCCAGGTCCTGCTGATTTTTCCTTCTGCATTTACTGTGTCTTATCCCCTGATTTGTGCTTTTGTGATTATTTCCCATTTATCAATCTCTTCTTTTAAAAAATTACAACTTGTAGCATTTGATTTAGCTTTTGCTTCATACACTATTATAGATTTAATATGTGTGTTTTCATACACGTAGACGTGTGATAAACTTGTTTCTCCAGGTAGATTGTAACTCTTTGGAACCAAAATTACTTTATTTATTTATTTTTTATATTTGAGATAGGGGTTTCCCTGTGTTGCTCAGGTTGGTCTTGAACTCCTGGGCTGAAGCGATTCTTTCATTTTGGCCTCCCAAAGCGCTGAGATTACAGACATGAGCCACCACGCCCAGCTGTGAACCAAATGTTTTAAAACTCCTCTGTATACACCACCAAATTTAGTGCCGAATGCGTAGGAAACACACTATAAAACTCATTCAGGTAGTACCTCTTGTCAACTGAACTCTAGCTATGTGAACTTAGGAAGTGATTTTTTTTAAATTGAATCCTTCAGTATCCAGACTTCCTATTTGCTACCTAAAACTTAAGAACCGAATAGATTCGGAATTTCTTGCTATTAGAGCTTGTTATTGAAACTCTGTCTAAGCCCAGGAACCAAATAGATTTGCAGAGGATACTTGTCCTTCCGTATTTATGCTGTGTTTCAGTGATGGGATCACCATGTGTTATATTGAGACTCTAGCTATGGCTCTTTCTATCCTTACTTCAGTATAATAATTATACTCAATGATTTTAATCATAATTACTCGAGTATAATAATCATACTATTACCACTATTGTGAGGGCTGTGGCTAGGCAGGAAGTGTGACCTAGAGAATACTCACAGGTTTTGGAGTAAGATATGCATTGGCTTGAATTCTGGCTCTCTCTAGCACTTAATTGTCAATGTTTTACTTTTGTCACATGTAAACTTGTAAAATTAATACCTTCTTCTTAGGATTCTTGTATAGAATAAAAAAATGCATGTGAAATGACTGGCATATGTAGTAGGCACTTATTGAATGATATATATTGGTGTTTTTTTTTTTTTCCCAATAATGCTATTAATCTCTTTCAATCCTAACAAATATATACATTTTTTCCTTCTTTAAAGCAATCAGTCAAGTAGTTTTTATTGAATATCTTTTGGGCCGGGCGTGGTGGCTCAAGCCTGTAATCCCAGTACTTTGGGAAGCCGAGGCGGGTGGATCACGAGGTCAAGAGATCGAGACCATCCTGGTCAACATGGTGAAACCCCATCTCTACTAAAAATACAAAAAATTAGCTGGGCATTGTGGCGTGTGCCTGTAATCCCAGCTACTCAGGAGGCTGAGGCAGGAGAATTGCTTGAACCCAGGAGGCGGAGGTTGCAGTGAGCCGAGATCACGCCATTGCACTCCAGCCTGGGTAACAAGAGTGAAACTCCGTCTCAAAAAAAAAAAGAAAAAAATTTTTTTTGTAGGTTATACATTACAGTATATGTAGGACTTTATATATAATCTTATTGATACTCTTTTAAATATAATTTAGTATAACAAATGACATTTATTCCACAGTGTTGTGGTAGAGCAAGGTTTAGAGCCTAGGTTTTCATTTTTTTAACTTTTTTTTTTTAAATTTTTGAATAAACTTTAGTGTCCTGAATAAAGACTACCTTCAAGGAAACAAAATCTAATATCCAGTAGTCCCATTTGTCTCTACTTTTCCACATAAACTTGAACAATTCACTCCTTTCTTATTAGCATAAATTGAATGCTGTTGTCTTTTTAAACCAGAATTTTCTCCTTCCATTAAAAATTCTTATTTAAATCATTCACTTCTATGAAAATGTAATGGTAATGATCTGAGTAACCATACTTTGTAAAGGATTTACTGGAAAGCATAGTGCTAGATATAGGAGGTTAGGTGTATGGGAGAAGAGATACAAAGATGAATCAGAGATGCAAATACTATCCTCTGAAACAAAGTTTTGTTAAAAGTGTGTGTGGGAGACAGACAAATGTACAGAATGAAGGGAAGCTGTATAGTGTGGGGTAGTATAGGGGAGAAGAGGAAGATGTTAAGATCTTCCCAAATTGCTTGACATCCTGGCAGGTCTAGGGCAGAGGGATAGTCTGTAGGGTAGAAATGTAGAAAATCACATAAAAATCTTCAGAATATGTAGTCATTAATGGAACATGAATTAAATTAGTGAAACTACTGCAAATTAAATTTTTAAAAGATATCCATCTTCATAACAATATATACCTCAGAAAAAAAAATGCCCTGCACTCCAAAAGAGTAACGGATAGGGATACACTGTACTGCTCCTGAAAGAAGGTGGACATTCTCTCAGTTGGTCCAAAAATCTTGGCATGCCTTGGAGCTTAATGGAAAAGATATCTGATTAATGTGTCTTACCTTCCAAAGTCCTTTTATGGTTTAAATTGCTCACAAATGTGATTTGGTTTTGGGGTATTATGAACTGGTGGCAGTGGCAAGCAGAATCCAGTGAAAACAGAGGCATGGGAGCCTATATTTTAATTGCCAATTAGGGCATCTAGCAAGCTCACCATGGGGCATATTATTTATTAAGTTATACTACATGTTGCTCCTTTGAACAAATTTGTGTTATGGATGATTCCATAGTTCCCTTTATTGATTTCTAACTGTTACATGGACAAAGCAAATTTTTGTATATTAGAGATACATAAAAAGCATATGTGAGCTGTGAAACATTAATGACATGTACAACAGTCTTTTATTAATTATTTTTCTTTGTTCTTAGGCTGTGACAGGTATTTAAATTTAAAGGGTTTTTTAAACTAGTGAAAAATTAACTGATGAAAAGTCTCAGTTCTAACAAACTCTAAAATGCATATGTACTAATAAAAAATTTACACATTAAGAAGTGCTACATTAACATTGCTTAAACAATTCCCAGGTTTTAAATTCAAGGCTTTTTTTATCTGTGTTTACAAATTTCTTTATAGAGTGCATTTCATTTCAGTGAGGTTTCAGTATGTTTAGAGTTTTCCTATTTTTTAAAGTAAGTGGTAATTTAGCACTGTATCTGGTAGTAAATGGTTTTACAAAACATAGATTTTGCATAGTGAGTCACAATCTAAATTAATGAGAAGTTTAGTTGAAATAGGGTTTTAAAGCCATTTTACATATATATCTTTGCAACAAATTAACAAATTTCTTATCATAGTTTTATAAGAATTTGTAAGTTAGAATATAGGCTTAGCTGCTCTGAGGTTGGAAACAACAGATGTGTAAATAAGATAGAAATTGTTATTCTGGCCTAGGGCTAGTAAGGAATCTGCAGTGTTGGGGACTAAGCCTCCTTCTGTCTTGTGGCTTTGCTGTGCCTAGGATGTTGATATAATGTGTATGGATGGAAACTACCATGTTTACAGCCTAGCAGGAAGAGGAACAGGGAGAATGTCTTAGTCCATTTCTGTTGCTATAAAGAAATACCTGAAGCTGAGTAATGTATGAAGAAAAGAGATTTATTTGGTCATGGTTCTGCATGCTATACGAGAAGCATGGCACCAGCATTTGCTTCTGGTACGGGCTTCAGACGGCTTCCACTTATGATGAAAGGAGAAGGGGAGCAGCGTTGTGCAGAGATTACATGGTGAGAGAAGAAGCAAAAAGGGAGGAGGTGCCAGGCTCTTTTTAACAATTAGCTCTTACAGTAACTAATAGAGAACTCGCACTGCCTCCCATCCCTGCCATGGAGGGTATTAATCTATTTATGAGGGATTCACCTCCATGACTGAAACACTGCCTATTAAGCCTTACTTCCAATACTGGGGATCAAATTTCAACCAGAGTTTGTGAGGGACAAACATACAAATTCTGAGAACTGACCTGGAAGAACTGACACATCACTTTTCTTCTTATAGCCTTTTAGTCAGAACTCAGTCATGTCACACATGTTACCACCTATAGCAAAGGAGGTTAGGAGATGAAGGGGATCATATACCTACCTAAGACTCCTATTACTATGGAGGAAAAAGAACATGTATTTGGGGAGACATCTAGCAGTTACTGCCATGTACACTCTCTTTTCCATCCATGGAGCATCTTGACTCCCTCACCAAGTTTCATCCATCTCATAATTTACTGTACTTGGGAGATGGAAAGTCGGTTCTCTCTCTAAATCCTGATGTGAATTCTAATGGTTGGAACATCCAATCTGAAATCTAATTTGTCTGCCATCTACTAATGCCCCACATATGGATCCGATATATGATTTTTTTTTAAGTCTGTTGTCTTTTTTATTTTATAAATGTAATTTATTTTACACTTTTTTTTATTTTTATTTTTTATTTTTTGAGACAGAGTTTCGCTCTCATTACCCAGGATGGAGTGCAATGGCGCCATCTCGGCTCACCGCAACCTCCACCTCCTGGGTTCAGGCAATTCTCCTGCCTCAGCCTCCTGAGTAGCTGGGATTACAGGCACACGCCACCACGCCCAGCTAGTTTTTTGTATTTTTAGTAGAGACGGGGTTTCACCATGTTGACCAGCATGGTCTCGATCTCTCGACCTCGTGATCCACCCGCCTCGGCCTCCCAAAGTGCTGGGATTACAGGCTTGAGCCACCGCGCCCGGCCCTTTATTTTACACTTTTTAATTCACCTTGGACCTAGCACATCCTAGGGTTTTACACACTGATCAAACTGCTCTGCTAGAGATAGTTAAGTTAAACAGCAGTTTCCTTTCAAAGTTACCCAGTTTTAAGAAATACGAGTCTGTTTTTTAAAATTTTATGCATGTTTATTTTCATTATAAATTTATTTAAATCACTTTGGACCCAGCATGTCCTTAGGTTTTACCCATTCATCAAACTGCTCTACTGTGAGATAGCCAAGTTCAATAGCAGTTTCCTTTAAGGTGGATCCATTTTTGTGTGCTGTCTTAGCAATCTTTGCTGCCTTGTCATACCCTATGTGAGGATTGAGAGCTGTCACCAACATTAGAGACTCATTCATCAGCTTGTTGATCCTTTCTGTATTGGCCTGGATTCCTACCACACAGTTTTCTGTAAAGGAAACTGAAGCACCCCCTAGCAGCCTGGCTGATTGTAACACATTTTTAATCATCATTGGCTTGAAAACATTCAACTCAAAATGTCCATTGCTGCCTCCAACGGTTACAGCAACGTGATTCCCCATGACTTGGGCTGCAACCATGGTCATTGCTTCACACTGAGTAGGGTTCACCTTGCCTGGCATGATGCTGCTTCCTGGTTCATTTTCAGGCAAGATTAGTTCTCCCAGACCTGACCGAGGACCAGAACCCAGAAAACGAATATCATTTGCTATCTTCATCAGACTGCAGGCAGTAGTGTTTGTGGCTCCACTGAGCTCAACCAGAGCGTCATGAGCAGCCAGAGCTTCAAATTTATTTGCAGCAGTGACAAAAGGCAAGCCTGTAAGTGCAGCCACTTTTGCGGCAACCTTTTCTGCAAAGCCAATTCTGGTATTTAAACCTGTACCAACAGCAGTGCCTCCAGCTGCGAGCTCATAGATTCTTGGCATGGCAGTTTTTATTCTTGACATTGCATATTTCACTTGTTGAACATAACCACTAAATTCCTGCCCAAGAGTAAGTGGAACAGCATCCTGAGTATGAATGCGTCCAGTTTTGATGATCTGCACAAACTCTTTGGATTTGGCCTCAAGAGCATCGTGCAGCTTCTGTAGTCCTGGTAACAGTACTTCATGAACTTCTATTGCAGCAGCAATGTGCATTGCTGTGGGAAAAGTATCATTTGAGCTCTGGCTTTTATTAACATGATTATTGGGATGCACAGGTTTCTTGCTGCCATGTTCACCTCCTAACATTTCAATTGCTCTGTTGCTAATGACTTCATTTACATTCATATTTGTCTGAGTTCCTGTATCCACTGTAAAAGTAGGGGTGGGGTAACATCCAAAAGATAGCAGTAGAGGAGAAGCAGGATAAGACACTCCATTTGGAAAAGGGGAAGATGGGAAGCCTAGCAGTTAACTTGTTCTTAGCAACTGTCAAATCCTGTATGTGGAAATCATTATTTTTATCTTGCAGTAGAAAAAAGTCTTTGTTAGTATCCTGGGCAAGCTTGCCCCACTGTCCGTGGGGAGGAGAAAAATCACTTGTTCTCCATGGTTCTGGTTATGTCCTTTGGGAGGTTCTTTATTGTCTGTTGTTCTCTATGGCCACATTTAAAGTGGGCATTGGAAAGTGTACTGTTCTTTTGGGGTTGGATAGCTTTCAAAGCTGACTTCCTGCTGGTACATGTAAGGGAGCCTGAGAGGTTGTCTTTGAGTTGAACAATTGTAGGCTTTTACAGTCCGAGCTGGTGTGTGTGTGTGTGCATGTGTGTGTGTGTGTGTGTATAACTACTACATCCTTTCAAAAACTCAGAGTTTGCTGCCTATTTGTGCAGATTAACTCCAAATGCAAGTAACCGCAGCCAAAGATAGGTTTTTTTTTTCCTCAGCTAAAAATTCTGGGTTTAAATTGTTGGACTTTGTGTTCTGCAAATTCTCCAGTTTCTTAATCTTTGATGCTTAGGTGAGAAGGTAATACCTTTACCATTTTGATTTCTGGGTAGGTTCCCATTGTCTGGCTGGAAACTGTTGGGGTCCCAAGTTTATATCAGTTTAGGCTGTGTCTTCTGAACCCCCTATTTTAACTGTGTTAGGAATGTAGAAGAACCTGGCTTTTAAATCCTATAAAGCCCCACTGTAAAGTCAACTTAGATTTCAGGCTGTATGTGGTATGGACTTTCCTCAGTAGAGCTGAATTCCCTTCTGCATCTACATGAGACTGCTTTATTTAGGCTGAGTTTATTTCTCTTGAAGGGCTTTGTTGAGAGCAGCAAGAAGTAGCCGATGCGTACTAAATGTTTTGCTGTGGCTTAGAAAGAGTCAGTAGCTTTTCATCTTACTGTCTGTTATGTCAGCATCTGCTGTTCAACCTCCAAGTCAATGCCACATATTACAGGTTCTGTTAGGGTGGCAACCACTTCTGGCTGTCAAATTCTGTTAGGACATGGGTTGATCTACTGTAACAAAGACCCAACTTTACAAGGGTTTAATAGAAAAAAATTTTACATTTCTTTATAACCAGACTATAAGCAGCCCAGAACTAATAAGTACCATTGTGCTGGGGTACTGGGATTTTTCTATTGTATTGATTCACCATCCTTCAGGTATTACCCTCATTCGCATGATCCAAAATGGTACACCCCAACTGCTCTGAATTCTAGCCAGTCAGAAAAGAAAAAAAGAGGAGGCCCAACCCTTCCATTTAAGGACTCCATTGCTGACATTGACCAGAAGTTGACCACATGACCACATCTAGCTGCAAGGAAGCTTAGAATGTGCAGGGTGTCCAGGCAAAGATTTTGTTAATAAGGAAAAAAGAGAAAATGGATTTTGGAGTACTATTAGCAATTAATGCCACAAAACATAGGACAGGAGCGCAAAGAAAAATAACAAAAACTAAACTCAGAACAGATAAATAGAAAGCCTTTATCACCACCCTGAAAATTAATTATTGGATAGGATAATTGTAAAGTACAGTAGCCTAGGCATTAATACCTGACTGCACATATATGTGTACATTATATATATATTTAAACTGTCTTTATGATAGTTTAGTCTGCAATTTGCCTTCAGAGACTACAGTGAACATGCTAATGTGCATTACATTTGAAACCATGTGTTTAAACATTTATGTCTTCACCTGTGAGTTTTCTTCCCTCATTAATACTTAATGAGATATAAAGTACAGAGTAGACTCAAAATAGCACAATCTCAAGTCCTAGAGAAAATGTGTAATGTACTCTCAAACTGGAAATTTCTTTGAGTCTTCAGGTCTTATCTAAAAAGTTAGTATAACTGTTGTATTCTTCATTTATAGACACATTTTATAAATATATTTGTTTTTAAAATAAGGATATTTAAATTACTTATTCATTTTGCCAGATATGAACTTGACACTCCAGGAAGAGAAACAGTATTTTTTTCTGTGTCTGTCTTTCACACTGATGCATACCTCTTTAGGTATGGATGAAATGGTTGAGTAGCTGGGTTTATAAAATTCACGTGATGTATTTTCTTCATATTTATTAGCATCTAGTGATGAATGAAAAGATATCTGATATGGGTGCTGGTGGTAGACATTTTGAGGGCTACCTGTTTTTCTGTTTCTCTGCCCTTCCTTCTGTTCTCAGTGGTTGCTTCTTCAGTGCACTGCCTTTACATAACTGATTGTTCATTCTTCTAGTTTCCAATTAAATGTCACAGTTTCTGAGAAACAACTTTCTTGACTATGGCAGACAGACCCCAAGGTGACACCCAGTGATCCCTGCCTCCTGGTTACTTACTTTGCTTGAGTTGAATAGTACCTGTAACTTGCTTCTAATTCATAGAAAATGGCAAAGGTGATGGATTATCTCTCCTATGATTACATTATATGAGACCAGATTTTACCAGACTGTAGCAAGAGATTTTCTTGGTAGTTTTCAAGTAGTAAGCTGACACACTGTGAGAGTGTCACAAGGCTAGGCCGAGACTGGCATTTAGGAGCTGAGAGTTAGCCCTTTGCAGGAAGAAAAAAGGGCCTCAGTCCAGAACTGCAAGGAACTGTATTCTTCCAGCAACTTGAATGAGCTTGGGTGAAAACCCTGAACTCCAGTTGAATGCCAGCCAGCTGTTGCATTGATTTCAGCCTGGTAAGATGTTGCGCTCTAGCTGTGCCATGCCTGGACTTCTGACTTACAGACATTGTGAGATAGTAAAATATGTATTATCTTAGGTTCCAAGTTTATAGTAAGCTGTTTCATAGCAATAGAAAAAATATAGAGATTAAGAGTTATTTGCTGCTTAACAAGGGGGAGAACCCTGTATTCCTATATTCTTCATCCTACTTCCTTTCTTCGTGGATGTGGCTGCCAACATTTGGATGTCCAGCTTTGTCCAGGGATGGGGGAGTGGGAGACATGACCCAGAATCAGGGATATAATCCAGAACCAGGTCTACAAGTTTCAGCTTCTGTTGAGCTTTCCTGTCTGAGCTCATGGTGTGAACCACTAATGTAAAAATTGTAGTTGTGTCAAGGTGTATGACTTTGCAAAGTCTAGAAACCACTTAAGTTACTGGGAATGGCATGTTAATAAAATTTTTCTGTATCTGTACAGATAATATAAGATAGCTCTTTTAAAACAATAGATGTAATCATTATTAGGATTTACCTTAAGTGAAGAAACTCCATGAGTTTAAACAAAAACAAAAACAAAAACAAACAAACAAAAAAAACAAAGCACGTTTCTTTGCTTGATTCATTTTACATTTGGTTTCCTTTTCCTCAAAATCACATCTATTCAAGAGTCCTCTGAAATGCCGTGTTATCCCTTGTCATAACTATACTTTTGTTCCCTCTACTTACTTGGGCTGATGCCTTCAGTCTGTTTTACCTTAATGCTTTGAAACTCAGAATTCAGCGTCAGCATCATCACCTGAAATTTATTAGAAATGCAGAATCTCAGCTCCTAGATCACTCAGACCTTTAATATCAAAATCTATGTTTTTATAAATGATTTACAGTAATTCATGTATATATTAAAGTTTGAAAAGTGCTGCTCTAAGCCTCTTTATGGTGTTTTAATAGTATACATTTTAAATTGCAGCTATTTACTTATTTATTATTTTTTGAGACCTCTAATTCTGTCACCCAGGCTGGAGTGCAGTGGCAGCATTCTAGCTCACTGTGGCCTTGAACTACTGAGCTCAAGTGATCCTCTCACTTCAGCCTCCCCAGTGGCTGGGACTATAGCTGTGGTCCACCATGCCTGACTCATACAGTTATTTTTGTATTTGCTTCATTTTTTTATTATTAGATTATAAATTTTCAGTTTTCAGGAGCTTAAGGTTGATTCCTTATTTCTCCTGCAGTGACTAGCATGGTTATCTTATGTATAGGGGCACGATAAATTATTTATTAAACTGAATAGACTCTAGGAGGATTTCTTCCTATTTTCTGGAAACAATTTTTATAGTTAGTCTCAAATATCTGTCATTTAGGACATCATTTTGTTGACATAGCAGGAACCTTTATAATCTACTTAAAGACATTAGGCCTTTGCTGGAAGGAGGAAGCTAGTGAATTAGACAACTCATTATGGTTCAGAAATCTCTAATGACATTTTTATTCAATTCCTAATACTCAAATTGTTCTCTCAGAATCTACAAATGTAGTTCCTAACTCTATTAGTATTCATGCTAATGGATCACATTTATCTATTTTCCTTGACCTTCAATTCAAGAAGAGGATTAAGTGCATTTTGCACATTTGTCAAAGACACTTTGTCCTCTAAGTTTTCTCTATTACATGGATGTATCAAAATGTCTAGGAAAGAATGCCAGCTTTCCTAGATACCTGCTTTTGCCCACTTCCTAAGGATGTTTTCGTTTTCCTCTGATTTCATTCTAATAGTAATAGACTGAATTAAACTGGTCCGAATTGTATGACAAATACTGTTTGCATTCTCCGTTGATCATACTTCATGCAGTAATGTAAAGTTCCATGGATGACATTCAGCTAGCTTTCCAAAAGGCAAACATTCTGTAAAAAATGAAACAAATGCATGGAAGTTTAACCTTTCTAATGGTTAACCTTTCTAATGGTTAAACTTCCATGCATTTGCTTAATTTTTTAAGTGTCAATTTCATTGACAGGTAAGTTCATTCCACGTGCTGTTGTATGAGTGTGTGTGTGTGTGTGTGTGTGTATGTGTATGCATTTAGGAAAGTATGGCCTGTTAATTGTTTATTTGGTGGGGGGAGGGCTTGTTAATTGTTCATTTGGATTTTACATACAAAAAAAGGCTGTTTGTATCCTGAGTCTTGTGGAGACTCTTTAGTTTGCCTTAGCAAGCATGACAGTATAAGATATCAGAGTTATTTTATATAGCAAATTGAAATACACTGTAAAATAATTTAAAAAATCTAAGTCTGCTAGATCTACTGACAATGCCCCATCAGAGTAGTGTATTTTTTTCTAAATTAAATGACCTGAGAAATTAAGACACATATACAACATTGCCCTTTCAAACATGACTCATGTTTTTATTTTGTTGGGAATAAGATTACCTGTAATTGTTCTTATAATCATCACAATATAAAATTTTCAGAATTTTAGAGGTGATGCTTAAGAAAACCTTAGAATCATCTTATTGCATCTCACTGTATGCAGGAATTTTCTTTACGGCAATGGTTTTTAGGCATCTTTTTGGAACACCAGATTATCTTTTCTTAAAATAAAATTTTACAAATATGTAAGAGCTGAATCCTCTGTGCTTTAAGAGAATGATGAAAGACAGAATGATTCTCTACCTTCTACCTCCTGACCCCACAACTTGAGGTAATTTTTGGCAGAGAAGCTGAAAATCAAAGAAAGGTAATTTTTTACAAAGTTGATTGACAAGGCCAGACTTCTATTAACTGAGACAGTCTCCAAATACGTAATTTTAAACTGCTCTGGGTGGAATTCAGTTTCTTGTGCTTTTATAATGGAGGCCCCCATTTTCTTGCTTGCTTTTGTCTGGGGGATTGTTCTCAGTTCTTAAATATAGTCCTCGGTAGTTCACAACACAACATAATGATTTGCTTTCTTCTTGCAATCCAGCAGAAATGTGTCTAATGCTTCACCTTTAAAAGACTCACTTGCCTAATTAGATTAGGCTCACCCACGATGCTCTCCCTTTGATTAACTCCAACTGGTTAGTGACTAAATTGGAAGTAGTATCTCCTCATAATTAAAGGTTCTACCACCACTGGGGCAGGAATCATATGTGGGTGTGGATCACTGGGAATAATTCTAATATTCTACCTACCACGTTTTCCTTAAAAAATAAAGTGTTCCTTGTAGTGTAATGTCTTGGCTCTTAGACAAGTGTTACCTGTGGTTTTTGGGAGATGACAGAATTTTGGCTTATTTTAGTGTTTGTGGTAGGAGTTTTTTTCCTTGATGGTAAAAATTGGTATCAATAACTTATGTTTGTTACCTAGGACCAGAATTCTTAACCTGCACAATATAATCCATACTTTTCAAATGTTATTTTCGTTGCTAGGCAGCAAGATGAAATGGCAAGTCTTTTTTTCCTTCCCAGAATGATTATAAACACAAATAATATGCATCTGGGATCAAGGATGTATTGCTATCATTATAGAGTCCTAATGCTAGCTTTCTCCATAATGAAATAGTTTAATAAAACATATACTATTATGAAGAGTAGAATGAGACCCTTCCCTTTCCCCAAAGAACATATGTGGTTTCATTTAGAAAGAGCTTTACAGGAGAGTTTTGAAAATTCTGTATATAATTGGTATAGGAGTATAATAAAAAAAATAGAAAGTACTGCAAACTTATTGACCTGAGAATGAGAGTTGAAATTATATAGAGTTAATACTTTTATTCTGAGATTACTTTTCCCTTTTACTCCTCCTCTCTTGAATTTTCTCCTGCCCTTCTTTCAAGTTTCTTTTTAAAATAAAAGATGGAATCTCAATATGTTGCTCAAGCAAGCTTCAAATTTCTGGGCTCAAGTGGTCCTCTCCTCTCAGCCTCCTGAGCAGCTAGGACTATAGGCTCAAGCTACCACACTCAGTTTCCTTTAAGTTTTAACAATAAAAGTAAAGTGTTAAATAAATCTTTTTTATTATGAGAATTTATAAAAGTAATTTGATCAATAAAGATGATACGTTATAAACTTTGCTTTGTCATTTATTATATATTTAACAAGAAAATCTATTGAAAACTTAGCTGTATCCAGGAAAGAGACTAGGTCAATTACTTGTTTATGAAATGCTGGAGAATTGGAAGGACCTATATTCTAAGTCAAAATTGACTTCATGAATGGCAGTGAAAAAAACGATGACACCGTCAGTGGTAGTGCTTTAAAAAAGCGTTGTTAGGCCAGGCCCCATGGCTCACACCTGTAATCTGAGCACTTTGGGAGGCCGAGGAGATTGCCTGAGCTCAGGAGTTTGAGACCAGCCTGGGCAACACAGTGAAACTCTCATAGCTACTAAAATACAAAAAATTAGCCTGATGTGGCAGTGTGTGCCTGTAGTCCCAGTTACTTGGGAGGCTGAGGCAGGAGAATCACTTGAACCGGGAAGCGGAGGCTGCAGTGAGCTGAGATCATGCCACTTCGCTCCAGCCTGGGCAAGAATGAGACTCTGTCTCTTAAAAAAAAAAAAAAAAAAGCATTGTTACCACTTCCTGAGACTAATCTGATTTGGTCAAAGTCTCGACAGGAAACAGATGATATATTGAAACAAGATAATTTACGAGAGTATGGGGGAGAACAGGCAGCCTCAAGGGAGGCAACAAGAGATGAGACAGTGCACTCATGTTAGTGACTGAAGGTGGATGACTACACCACTAGCTATGGTATAAGAAGTGGCTGCCTAATAGGAGGTGTGGCCTTTGGGAGAGTGATAGGGCTCACCAATGGAACCTGGCAGGGAAGGAATCAGGACAATAAATATCCTGACCTTATTTCTCTCCACCCCTGCAATGTCCTACTGATACCTCCCATTGCTGAACTTCATTGGAAGCCTGAGGGCAAGGGAGCCCATTGTTGCTGCCCATGAATGTCAGTCTCCCAGGGTACAGGGTAAGTTGAAAGACGGGTGAAGGATCAATCTGGAGGAACTAAGAAATATTTGGTAGAGCTCTCTAGTATGTCTTTTGGGAGCCTTTTGGTAGTATCTTTCATCATGCAGAGACCAGAGTGTGTCCATTTTAGAGGATAATGTGTTAACTGGTATGCCTAATTAGGTGGTGTCTTAATAGTCACAAAACTTCTCTAAATTCTAATAGCTTTTATGCTGGTGCTTCTGCCCCTAAGGACTGTGTCGTAACTAGGGAACAAATGCACGTCAAGAAGTTTTGTCTTTATTTTTCCCAAACTGACTTTTTCTCCCTTCTCAGTCTTGAAAATTTTAATCACCCTCCTAAACCCCAAAATATAATTCCTGTATGCAGCTTTTCCTGTTCTTCCCCCATTATCCTC